CTCATAAGACCTGTGTTTGAGTCCCTTCACCAGCCTTGTTACTCTTCTCTGGACCTGCTCCAGCACCTCAATATCCTTCCTGAACTGAAGGGCCTAGAACTGGACACAGTATTCCAGGTGTGGCTTCACCAGCGCCGAGTACAGGGGAAGAATCACTTCCCTGGTCCTGCTGGCCACACTGTTCCTGATACAGGCCAGGATGCCATTGGCCTTCTTGGCCACCTGGGCACACTGCTGGCTCATGTTCAGCTTCCTGTCAATCCAAACTCCCAGGTCCTTTTCTGCCTGGCTATTCTCCAGCCACTCTGTCCCCAGCCTGTAGCACTGCATGGGGTTTTTGTGGCCAAAGTGCAGGACCCGGCACTTGGCCTTGTTGAACCTCATCCCGTTGGAATCAGCCCAACTCTCCAGTCTGTCCAGGTCCTTCTGCAGAGCCCTCCTGCCTTCTAGCTGATCGACACTCACCCCCAAGTTAGTGTCATCTGCAAATTTGCTAATGGTGGACTCAATCCTCTCATGTAAATCATCAATAAAGATATTAAACAGGACTGGGCCCAACACTGATCCCTGGGGGACACCACTAGTGACCGGCCACCAACTGGATGCAGCCCCGTTCACCACCACTCTCTGGGCCCAGCCCTCCAGCCAGTTCCTAACCCAGCACAGAGTGCCCCCGTCCAAGCTGTGGGGGCACAGGAGAATGCTACGGGAGACGGTGTCAAAGAATAGACACTGAAGCTTTCCCTTTTGCAGCCTGGGAAAAAACCTGCAAAAGGATCAATTTGTATTTGATTTGGTTTTATCCATCTTACAGTGAACCTACTTCACCAATCATTAAGTGCTTAGGAGAGATTTTTGTCTCCCAAGAGAATGAAGCCACTCAGACGAGGTAGTTCAATGTGTCGTTTTTGCATTGCATACATGCAATGTATGTAGCATAGGGATAGTTTTGTACAACAGAAATAAGCCATTTGCTCATGTGTATAGACAATCTACATGTAGCAGATCTTGTGCTTATGCAAACTCTCAATTAGCAAAACCCCGACAACTATAGCAACAAAAACTAACTAAAACACAGTCCTTTCAGATGCAAATTTGGTGTGCAGAAGCACATATGTAGGAGTAGAAATCAACCCCTCATGGCTCCTTTCAACTTTCTTTGAAGTCAGTAGCAAAATTCTCATTGAGTTCAATAAGAACAAGAGGCAGCCCTTGATCTAGTAAAAAGTCCTTATGAGGTTTTATTAGCTCTTTATACAAAACTTTATTCTAGTTGTATATAAAATACATTTTGACTCCATATCCACCCACAAGACTTTGTGGCTGGTTGAGAATAATGTGACACCTCTACTCTGCCCAGGCTGCGACTGTCACTCAAAGCCCTGGATGTGCAGATGTCAGAAGGATTCCAGTTTACCTAAACAAGTTTTGCTTTTCAGAGAAGAGCCACTAAAGACAGGATGACAGCTCAAGTAGCTTGTGCCCAGCTATTTAGGAGCAGGTTAGGTCAAGGCCATTTCTGGCCACTGATCCAGCCTTCCTCATGACAGCAGACACATGACAAATGTCCCTGCTAATTCTGCTCAGTCTTGTGGTAGTCTTGGACACAGCTCATCACAGGGGATTAATACCAAGACTGGAGAACCTGGCAGGAGCAGATGGAACTGCTTTAGTGCAGTTCTGTTTCATTCCTTTCTGATGAAGTCCAGAGAGTGGTGATGGGCAGCTATTCCCTCTGCTTGAGGGTGCTCAGCTGTGAATTCTCTAAGGGATCACTCATGTTGCTTCAGCTGCCCTACATTTATATGAACTCTCTGGAAATTTGTCAGAAAATTTGGGAAAATTATTATATTTGGTACTTTGTCTGCTCTCCAACTGACTCAGAAACCATGGTGACTGGGCTTAACCAGTACTGACAGGAGTAATGTTTCAGCCAAAAGCCAGCTGGCTGAAAGTCTACTCAGAAAATATGGAAAATATGGTGATTGGCAAATATAAACACTGTTGGGCCTGGCAGCCACAGTAGCCTCAAGACAGTGACTTATACCTCTGTTATCTCTGTTTTGTGGCACCCAGGTTAGCAGATCAAAATGGGGCAATCAGGAGAAAGCCATGGAATTCCAGGTAGCTCCATATAACTGCTGCTCAGAGGCTGGGTAGTCTGCTCTAGAGGAAGGAATCCTCTTCTGCACAAATCCTGGCATCATGAAGGTGCAATACACAAGGAAGTCAATTCAGTCAAGACTATGAAGCCCTGCACCTCAGCCCTAGAAAAAACACTGCTCAGACTGATCCACAGTTCATATTTTCGCCTTGAAAACATGAGTATTACCTGCCTCATGGGAATTTCACTACAAAGTGTGCAGCAGGATAAAGACCAGCAAGAAATGGCTGGTTTATGATTGATTCAGCTACAAAATGATGGATGTTCTGTTGTTTAAAATACTTATATGAAAATAAATTTTCTTCGATTTTCAAAAGCTTCCCCATTAACTTGTACACAAATACAAAAAAACTACTTCAGGAAGACAAACACTATCATGTTAGGCATTGGAGTCCTTTGACCATCTGGAACAAAGGCAAACGTTTTGTGGAAAAGTACACATTAGTAGGCTGAATTCATTAAATGCTAGTAATTTTAGCTCAAGTTAAAGCATCTGAGCCCTTAATGGGTTCAAGGGCACAGTATTAATCAACAAAGAAAGTTTCTAATAAAATTTGGCCTTGGGAAATTCTCTTATATATTCTTTCTGGGTGATGTTATTGTTTTGGGGGAGCTTATCTACTATCTTGCTGGGAACAACTATCCACTTTAATAAAGTGCCTAAAATAATGTAATAAACACACAGCTTATATCAATAGCATCATATTTCTCCACATAGTATTTGTGTGTGGTTTAATTAGATGGAAGGATTACAGGAAAAGTTTGTGTCATAATGATTCTTTAAAGCGAAACCATAGATCAAAGTTCATAGCTGCCAAATATACAACTTTCAAAACAAGCTCAAGTGCTGCTATTAATCATGGCTGCCGAGGGATTTGATGACAAAGATTAAACTGCTGTAAAGGATACTGCTGTGCATCAGATTCTTGCAACTGTCATCATATAGTCTGCCAACTATTAACAGGTCAGAAGAGTTGTCCAGCATTTACCGTGGGTGGCTCCATCACTGCAGTTGGTGAGGCTGTCTATGCCACGGTGACAACCAGTGACACCCTCCCAGACAGACATTTGTGGGTTGTTATTTTTTGCAGTGTGGTTGAAGTCTTAAGGTCTTCCTGTAGAGCAAACAAGAGAGGGAAACTGCAGGACCTCAGGCTCAAAGCACTGTATCCTCATAGGAACATCGCTTGTGTGGAATATTTTCTTATTTTCCACATGAAACACCTTCTCCTTGCTTACTGCATGTGAAGAGTGCCCACCTGTGGAGTTGAGGTGTTGTAAATTCGCTCCTAGTTTCACTGTGTATAGATAAGCCCTTAGAGAGTACCTCATGGAGCAGCTTTCATCCCATTTGCAATTACGCCAACCCTCTCTCCTTCCACACTGGATCATGTAATATCCCTGTGGGAAGCTACAGCATTTGCTTACACAGAAACATAATATGAAGGAAGTATGTAAAGCATACTTTACAGGGTGGGAGCCAACAACCTGTGACCCATGAGCCAGTGTTCCATGGTGGGTCATCGATAGCCATTAGATGGCATGTACAGAGTTGTTAACCTACGGACCTATAATATGCTGCTGTCGCTGCTCATATGTAGCAATGTGCTTGAGAAGTGGCCTTTCTGAACCTCAGCTTTGTGGAGTCTGAAACTGGTATCAGAGTTTTGCACCGAGCTGTTGGTGTAACAGATGGGAATGACAGTCTGATGCAACAAGCAACTGAAGATTCAAATCCAAAACCACAGATTTGACTACAGTCTTCAAAGTTTAAGGGAGTTACAGATCTGATTCCAGACTTCACAGCTGCAGTCAGCTATAAAAGACACTTATCTATATAATGGGTTTAATCCAAACTACATTTGAATATCTGTCATCTCTGGGAATGTTTGGAGACACATCTGGCTGGAAATTTTTAAGCATCATCTCATCTTTGCTAGCAGTATCTTTAAAAAAAAAAAAAGAGAAAAGGAACAGAATGTTAAGACTTAAAATCAATGGCATTCAATCTCAGATTATTTTAAGTAGTTCAGCCTTTACCTTACCAAACACCTTCATTCTACCCAACACTTCATAATTGAAAGGTATCACAGATCATTACACTCCTTAATGTAACAGTTCTATCCTCTACTGAATGCAAGGATGTGACATCAGAGAGATCATTTTTAGACATTCACAATGGTATACTTTGATGTCTAAAGGATCCTTTCTCATAGACCAGTCTTCACTTGCCTCCTCTTGATTTAAATTTCATTTTCCAAGGCTTCTCTCTCTCCACAAAAAAAATTCCTATGTGACTGAAACATTCAGTATTACAACCGCCAGATGCTTGGTCTCCTTCTCCCTCCACCACCAAAATGTGGGTTATTTAGTTATAGCAAAGTGAAAGAAATGCCTGCTTAGACTAACTGGTTTTATATTCATTGTAAGATGCTTTTTAGTTACCACCAGAGTATAACTGGAGTGCATGGGCTTGGCATGTAATGAGTTCTCCCTGAGAATCGGTTTCTTAACATAGCTTTGAGATCTGCTTAACACTTGTGAAGTTACACTTTGGTGTAGGATTTACTAGAACAACATAAACGGCATTCGCTTGCACGTCTTTGTGTGACACTGACAACGTCCTGCCTGAGTACGGGGCAGGTAATCTGTAGCGCACGCTGCGTCAGCAAGGCATTTATCATACACCAACAGCAATGACATATCAAAGGGTCTTTGCAGATGTCTCTGGAAGCATTAGTGCCCCTATTGCACTTCAAAGAACACAAAGACTATCCAGGAACATTTCCCTGAATTGGGATCCATTTTTCTGGTTTTCTGGTTTCTGCCATCTTGCATTTAAATATGGCATCTGGTTTTCTTCTTACTGAGAACCATATACTGAGTATAGTAACCAGGAAAGGGTGGGGAGGTGTTTTTCCTTTGGGTTAGTGAAAAATATTGCCTGAGGAATGGAAACACTGCTTTGATTGTGATACAGCCTCTATTTTTATTACTTTTCTCTGTAAAATACAATAAAAACATTGTGGGAAATATATAGTCAATTATCTGCAGTGGAAAGGAATATACTGGGGATGGAGCACCAAATTCCACCCTTGTCTTGTCTTTCATTTTGAGACAGACTATGGCTCAAAAACTGCAGAAACACAAAGTTAAAAACAAACTATGAGCATGTGAAACACAAGAAGCCAGTCATCCATCTGAAAAGCACCATAAAGGGACAGAAAAATGCACAAGAGAGTTATGACTACAACTGCTGCATGGGTAAAGCACTCCGGAACAGAAAGAGGGATGGCTTAGAGTCTGAAAATGTGGTATCCATAAAGCTCAAGTCAGGGGTACCATTACCACTGGCCACAGTTGAGTCCAGGTTTCCTTCAATGTGCTCTAAATTTATTCTTGGCTCTATATTATAGCATCCAAATAAAATCCAGTGGTGTGCAAATGAACATAAGCGTGCAGCATAGTCAAAGTGGCTGCAGTACTGACAAAGGCCAAGTCTGTGCTGGGCCTACACTTAACATTCACTACCATAGACCAGCTTTTGGGTAGCACAGGTATTTTCACATCATGCTTTATCCTTCCTGACCAGTCTTTGACGTCAGGTCTTATTTTAGGCTATAGCCCCCTAACATGGGTAATTACCCTTGTGAGAGGTGCACTGAATTATGTTTGGATAGAACTATACATTGTGGGTGCCATCACAGCACCTGTGACATTCCAAAAGTGTATGGTGGGACTGCAGGGTCTATTTGGGCTATCTGCACTTCTCCTGCCATTCCCAGCTGCAAACCTGGAGCACTGGTGCTTGTCTTGAAACCTGGCTGTTACTGCCAACATTTAGAAAGGCCACAATGGAAAATTGTGGAAATTCATCCAGCTCATGGAGGTTTAATGCTCATTCTGGTGGAGTGGAACATGTTGGATATTAACTATTTAGGGTAATAAACCTCTGAAGGTGACAGATAAAATTCAGGAAAGTGTTTCTATTTGCCCACAGTATACTTAGTCTTCCTGATAGCAGTGCTGATCTGATTTACTGAGGCTTCTTAAAAACATTTACTTTATGGAGTCCAAATTCTAAAATTTGCTGGAACTGCTCTGTCTGGGCATTGGGCACCAAACTATCTGAGATAGTTTTATGGTCAATTCAACATTACTTTGCAAGAATAAGTGGTGACTGCATAGGACTTATGCTTTTTTGGGTTACAAACACCTTTTCAGAGCTTGAAGATAACAACACTGACTAAAAGCAAAGTTTAATTCTCTAGAAATGTTATTTTCTAATGAAGTAAGGCATCACCTCTTAAAAGTGTGTGTCATCTTGGCATGCCAGTGTTTTGAATTAACTGGGTAGCTGAGCAATATGGTGGAACATAAGGCAGAACAAGAACTTTCCTGTATTTTTGCATATATTAAATTGACATATCAACAACTTTGTGTTAAGTACAAGGTGAAATATTGAATCTGAGGTTCATACTAATGAAGAGCTCAACTGACAAGTTAATATATTTTGTCACCTGAAGTGCAAAGTCAGCTCACAAAAACCATTAACTCATTAGGTAATTAGATAAACTGCAAACTTTTTAAACATACCTAGGTACAGATTGACTAGGTATATTATCTTTACAGGTAAAATACATCCATAGAATCTGTGAGCTACTTCTGATGATGATTTATATTTCTTCTGCTGAACTGCTCACAGTACAGGCTTACTACTATTAAAGATAACAACATCCATGATTTTCAGCTTTCTCCTGATGTCCATTGCTGCAGCAGAAATGAGCCCTCTCAGAATCTGACTGTGCTATTCAAAAAAAAAAAAAGGTTCTTCTCTTATTAAAAACAGAAGCTTTCATTCTCTCTGGAGGCCTGATATTTATGATCAAGCATTTCATGCCTACTTCTCTTGCCCTAATTCTGGTCATTTGCAACAATGCTGGTGTTAAGTGACTATGAAACCAGAGTCTCTGAAGTAATCAGATTTTCAGGCCCTCTGCCCTATGTCACAGAGAATCATTTATTGCAGTGCAATAGGAAATAAGGCCACTATGCATAACAGTATTTCTTGACGAAGAAATGTTGCTCATTGCTGAGTAACAGTACAGTCGGATGATTATAGGTTGCAAATTGTCAAATCAATAGATTTCTGCATTTAGAACTAGCAGAACAGAGAGCAAATGACCAAAGAAACAGCAGAGAGAGAAAACAGGCAGAGTACCAAGCTTCTGCTCAAGTCGCATGGAAGTGCCAATTTCCCAGACCCAGTTGATAGGGAGCAGCTGAATTGGTCTTAGCAGATGGGATGCCATGGGCTACAAGGAAGCAACCAAGTTCCATCACTGGCTAAAGAGCCCAGCAAGCAGCTCAGTCCCGTTTTCCCATGTAAAACCCTCAGAGCTCTGCTATCAGCCTCAGGATCTCCTTGTACACAACATCTGTTGGGATCTTTGCGTACAAATAATAGAGAGATTCAATGGCAGATGGTTAAACTGAACCATGTAAGAATTGTGGACTAGCTGCAGCTTGTTGTATTAAGCCTCTGAAACCCAGAGCTTACCTCAGAGTCACTTCCTTTGTTCTTGGAGAAGTTGTAGAGAAAAAAAAGGCCCAAGCCTCTCAGTTTTCCAAATGTAGTAAAAAGTGTTTGAATACACACTTTAATATATTTTCTGTGGCATTTTTGTAAAATACAGATATATAATTATAGATATAATGCATATATAGCATTTACTGTATTGATAAAAAGCTAGTCTTTTCACAATGACACACCAGTATTTACAATATGATTCAAATTTTAAGGAACAAACGAAACAATATTGTGTGGTTATATGATAAAAGTAATTTGAGGAAAAATAAGAGACCAGTTCTAAAAAATTCCCAGATGATAAAGTCATGTCAGGAGCACCTCCATGAACATCCATGCACAACCCTTTTTTTCTCCTCATAAGAACATGCATGATTTAGCTCTTCCACATTTCTACCTAGTCAAAGCCCTTAAGATAACATGGGTAATTACCCTTTTTCAAGTACAGATTAATTGTACCATCTTTGCCATTTAAAGATTTGTCCAACTACAAAATTTCAAAGTTTTGGCTGGAGCAAGAATTACTATACACAAGTTACTTGTTAATTTAAACCAATAAAGCTATGACAATTTACATAACTGAAAACTTGCCCATCTTGTACACATCTTAGAACCATTTCAAAAATCATTAGTGTGAGTTTGAATAGCATTTTCAGCATTGCAGGTCTTTTCTTTAAGATCTGCCTCAAGGACACTGCAATGCCAAAACCAGCATCAGACCTGAAGTACACAAATGCTCTTTCTTATCCTTGTATATGAACACTTCCTAGTCATTCATCTGTAACGTACTGTCCACAGCACAGAAGATGTAAAGATGATCTTCATCTTCAATATACTGTCACCCTTTTCTACGAGGCATGAAGTGCTATTATCACATTTTACAGAAGAAAAAAAGTCTGATATAGAGAGACTGAGTGAACTGCTCAAGGTCACTTAGGAAGTTTGAAACAGCAAAGAAGCAAACCCACATCTCCTCAATTGCATCCTCTTGTCTTTCTAACTTTGAATGAGAACTTTATATGTATCTTCTTTAACAGAAACAAATATGCAAGCAATAAAAATTAAGCATTCTGCAGGCACAGGCTTCAAGATAGTTGTGGTTTCTCTTCTATTCCCACATAATAAGAGGAGATAGCAAGAGGGCTGTTTCTGCCTGCATTATCTCCATCCCATTAATGAAATGCAAGCTGAAATGAGTCCTTCTTGAAGTGGGAGTGGTTAAGTGCACTATTTGCTAGAAAAGACATAGGAACACTTGAGAAACATGAAAATTCACTTTCACAAAAAAAATCTAAAAACTTGAAAGGCCTTAATCTTCTTCAATGCTTACTGGGGAAATATTTTCATCTATATTTGTACCCACCTTATAACGCCTTTGTATCACCTGCACAATATAAATGAGGCTTAGCATACCGTTGAAGATGACCTGTCCTCTCAAGCATTAAAATTAGTTCTACAACCTCTGTGGTTAAGCTCTGACAGAAGGGTAGCTGAGAGGCAGCTTTTGCAGAAGGACTGATACACACCTGTGCTGTGCAGGTGCAGATTTCACCATGACAAGTGTTTCCCTGTGTCCTTGTCACTCTGGAGAAGTGTGGTCAGCAGCAGATTGTGATCTATGTTCTTACAAGTGCCATTTAAAAACCAGAGGTGGGAATGAAGGAAGCCTCTCCAATTCCAGGACAAACACTGACAGAAATAAAGCAACAGGAAGTCAGCTATGACAATGTTCTGCTTCCAGAAATTCTTGTGGGCAAACTGGGTCATCTGCCTAACTGATACAGGTGATGTATTTTTGAGACACTGAGATACTTTTGCCCTTACTAAAAAACAAACAAACAAACAAAAAAAACCCAAAAAACACCAAACCAAATCCAAAACACAACAAACACGCAAACAAAACAGGTAAAACCAATAATGGAATTTCTCATTCTGCTCACTTTTTTTTTTCTAAATCGAACCTGCATTTTCCTTTAAAAAAAGTAAAAATACAGAAACAAAGATACTTTAGAATATCCTACTGTCCAGTAAATGTCTTATAGGCAATATTTATGGAGGAAAAAATGCATCAAGCCCTTCCTTTGACAAAAACTAAGCAACCTGAACTTCATTCCGTACTAAGGAATGCTGCTTCTAGTGTTGTTGGTTTAAATTATTTCTATCACCACAATTTGAATACACATTATTAGTCTTCAAATATCTAACCATAAATCTAAACTAATGCTGAAAAAAAAAATCCTAGTGAGAATGCTGTGCTGTTGATAAGCTAAAAACAATGTATCATAAGAAGGCAAACTAATCTTTCAATTTACTTTGTAAATAATCCATTAGCTAAACTTCTATTTTAGGCTAGATGCTTCATGCTCAACACTTACAAGTCCAAATATCCTTTGTATCCCTTATAACAGAGAAGAAACTTGTAAAATGCCTTTGGTGCATCAGCTTATCATTGTATGAATGTTTTAAAGAAACTCACTAGTGCTATAGGAAATGGGCAAGTGGGCTTGTTTGTGTTGTTTAATACTCCAAGTGTCATTTCGTTCTTTAAAGGCGCTGGAACAGAGGAGGGGGAAAGGGGAGGAAGTCTTGCTTAATTTGTTGCATATGTCCCAATGTGTTATACAACTAAGTGTATTATACCAGAAAACTAAAGCAGTCTGCAACAGAGCAAATTCTGTGTAACTCAAAATAGGAAAATAATCTGGCCACAAGCAAGTCAAAATTTCAGTAAAACTTCCTCTCATATTATATATATATATATGCACTTTACAAGCTACATCGAGTGTCCCTTCATATTCCAAAAGAAATACATTGTAGACACCAAACATACTGTACTTTTTCTTAAAGGCTTCATCAAACCATATGTGCAGACACTTGAGAAGACGAGAGTGTCAAGCTTCCTAGGGTCCTAGAGTCAAAGAAATTTTGCTGCCCCCCACTGCTAAGTAAGTGCACTCCTTCCACAGGGGGCAACATCTGCCGATCCGTCATGGTTCCACTTGGCGAGGACCCCAAGAAACTTCCTTGGGAAGAAACGATTTTCTCAGGACTGGCAGCCAGTTTAGGAGATGTGGAAAAGTTATATCCATAGAGCGCACAGGGACTGTGCAGTCTAAACGTGTTGTAGGAGCCTTGGTGGGTTTGATTAGTGGTAAAGGCATTGCTGGATGGGGATGGCATGATGTACTGGAGCTGTGGAGACATCCCTGAAATCTGCATAGATAAGCCAGTCTGTGGGCAGCTGAATGCATCCCCATCATTGCCACTCATAGACATATTCACAGTTGTGCTACTCGACACACCGACATAGGAGGGAGTCCTCGGGGGTGCAAACGTCTCACTGGTTTGGTTTGTGAGCCTGTTGTAGGTTTCAGCCAAGGAAGTGCTGTATCTGTTCAGGGTCAAGCCTGAGCGGGCACAAGCTGTGTAGTCAGCTGGAGCAAGGGTACACAGCTGGCTAGTGTTGGGATTGAGGTGGAAGGCTGGAGATGAGCAAGGGGAACCCGGTAAAAGGTGAGGGTGGGTAGATGGCACTCCACTGCCAGATCCCTGGAGTAAAGTAGAGGAACCTGCATTTCCTGGAAGAGAATGTTACAGCGTAAGAAGCGCGTCGGGGAAGTTCACTTCCTAGGTGACAGATCAAGACCTTTGGCTTTTATAATAACCCTTGACATGAAACACAACTCAAACTAATTAAAAAAATCTTTTACGGATATGTGCAGGAGGGTGTGTGAGTAAACCACATGCATATTTCTAAACAAACAACTTGACCAAGAAAGAGAACTGAAGTTACATTTTTACAACCGTCACTCAATATTTAGAGCTCCTGCCCAAAAGATTAACTGCTCCTTATATGACACTGGAAGGAAATTGCATGGCAGTTAAGATGTAGCCAAGTGAGTACCACATCACAGGAAGCCTTCTTCAAAATGATGATTTTTGATGTGTCTGTGTTCTCACTACAGTCTGGAGTGTGTTTCGAGCACTCTGTGCCTGACTGTCACTATCAGAGCACCAGCTGAGGAACCAGCTGCTTAGCTCAGATGATAGAGGCTCCCATAGTTAACAGCTTCAGGAAAGCTACTAACTTCAGAACAAAAAAATTCCAACTTCAAACCAAAAAAATCTGAGAACGAAACTTCAGAACAACTTCTGAAAGAGTGTAGGCTGAATACTGCACACACCTGCTTCACTTCTTGAACAGGTAGGATTGCAGCAAACTGTTTGCAAATTGTCTATTTACTGATATAAGAACTTTTTAAATTACAAATACCAATGCTGAATGTTCCTGAAAACACACTGCTACAGGTGAGACCTTTTCTCAGGACTGAAAGTTTCCCAGTTGCAAGAAACACTTCCTTTCTTAAAGAGATTGTATCTCAGTGAAAACTGACTGTAGAAAAATTAATTTGGGCCTTTCACAGTCTCCCAGGCAGAAGACTTAACATGGCAGACTCTCCCATTTGTGAATCATATTAACAATCAAACGGCTGGATGCTGCAAAGAGATACATGTTGTCAATAAGTTAACAGATTATCATGATAGGTGAGCTAGTAAAAAGAAACATACATAATTACTGAACAATGCCTGCTGCTTTTTGCTCTGTTAACAGGACACCACAAGATCAAAGCATCATTAGACACTGCCACATTCCATAAATCCTAGCATAAGACATATTTTTTCTTCCAATCTACGCCAATGCCTCTGCTACCTGATGACAGGCACTTTCAGCATTAATAAGCCAGGCAAATTTCTAATGGGGTCTTTCAGAAAGTCTCTAAACCACCTAAGGTATAGATGACTAAAGACTTTGCAAGGATCCCAGTTTCTATCCTCAGAATATCAACAGTAACTTCAACAAGCTCCTTAACCCCAGGCAACAGCAGAACAGGAAGCGAGAAGTTCATGGCAGCAGTTCCCCTGCTCTCAAACAATGCTCCTACATACAAACAGGGCAATAAAGCTGGTCTGTCTCCTAAATGGATTAACTGCATAGTGAGCTGCCTTTCAGTCTTACAGTCTGACAAGGCATTTCAGGTTTGATGCTAACTTCTCGTTACAGGCCTTTTTTATGAGAGTGTCCCTCACCCCTGTGCTCCACTCAAAACTCTGCCAACACTCAGCCAATGTATCTGTGACTTGGCACAAAACCTCCTTTTGAGTTGCCCACATCAAGCACTGATGCTCAGGATTTCTCAAAGGAATGAGCTAAGAAGTTGATAAAAGTTATTTCTCTGACTTTCTGTATTTTCTGGATTTTTGCTTTTAAGATGTTTAACAACTTTGCAATACATTATCAAGAAAGCAGACTGGATGTTTGTAAATTTGGCAGCAGGAAATGCGAAGAAACAGGAGCAATATGTCTGATTTTGTTGGGAAAAAGATGAGAAGTTTAATATTTGCACTGGGGTTCTCTGGAAATAAAAGAATTCAGAAAAGAGTACAAAGATTCCACTCTCTATCCAAAAAGGTCATTTAAAGGCTATTTATTTCATTCATGGCACTACCTGTATGATGGGGAAAGAGGAAACCAAGAGGTTTCCAACCAGGACTGAAAAGCAAGAAAAAACAAAACAGAGAGATCCATTTTTTCACGCTCTAGAATGCCCATAAAGTTTGTTGACACATTTACTGAAAAATTTTTAGGTCTTAAAGAATCAAGAAGGCATTCCAAGAAGAAACCCAGTTAAGCTTGCCACTATTTACTCACTACTTAAGAGGACATTTATTCTCTCATTCCCTTTTTTTTTTTCTCTTAAAAACACAAGAAATTCCTGCATTGGAGTTTGGATGTGTACAATAGATGTCATCTATAAGTGATCTCTACCTTTTGTATGTAGCCAGTGCATAGCTCTAAGGAATAGGCTATTCGATCCTTAAACTGAATAATTTAAACCCTTAAACTGGAATTCTCCTCCACATGTGATCTGATTTATCTTTACAATCTAACATTTTTATTGCCACAGTGATTGAATTAGCATCACCTTCTCAGCTTAGAATAACTGATGAGAGGTGATAGCCTGCACTGGGGTTAGTTGGTTGTTTTTTCTCTACAAGAGACACAGACTTTCCTAAAGTATGATGGCCAAAGCTTTATCTTCATGCATTTTTCTTTTGAAAGAACACAAAGACAGCCATTACCTTGTTTGGGTATCCCAGGTATATCTTCAAATGTAAGCGTCCTCAGTGAAGGTCTCCAGAAGGCATAGGACTCTACCAGAGCTTCCAGTCCCATTCTATTTAGAACAAAAGAACCAAGGCGGCATGAAAGCAAGCTGTATTTTGTCACATATCTCTGGATACTCTACCTCAGAAACACATAAAAACTAGTAACATTTCAGGATAATTTTGAAGTTGATTTTGCTTTGTAGAAAAGAGCCTTATATCCTACCCATGAGATCACTGAGATCTGCTACACTGGGCTTGCAGCAGACAGAGTCTTCCAACTCCATAAGTCTGGCTCTCTATTTCAATATTTTGGGCCTCTTGAGAGGGCTATTTGAGTGGGGAGCCTTGGCTAAATGTTAAAATGTTTTCCTAGTATGATATTTCCTTAAGAGATCATTCCTCTGCCTCTAACTGCCAGAGGGATGTTCTATTTCTGCCTAGAACAAAGGTGATCCACTGACAACTTCTATTAAAATAGGATTCCCGTTCATTACTGATGAGCTAGAAAATTACACTTAGAACATGAGCAAGGCATGGGTGTACAGCTCTTTTGCCACTAAAATGTATAAAGCAGTGTTGTGTCTCAGTTATTACGTGCTGAGCAAAATGCCCTTACAAACCAAAAATCTTCAGCGATTTTCTTTCAACAATGTAATGAGAAAATTGAAATAACTGGGTAGATAGTGCTGGCAGACACTATTTATAAGAATCTCTGTTTCTGAAGGTAAAGGCCCATTTGTTTTCTGACAATTATTTATGAATAATGCACCTCAGAAGCATAAATACTCAGAGGTATAATTTTGCTGTTATTTTTGGCTGCTGGGCCTCAGAGGCCTGTTAAATGTCAACATCGGGCACACACCAAAAACAAGTGCTTGCCTTTGAGCAGTAGCACTCTGTAAACTCGAATTATGCAAATAGCCCAATTTGAAGCAACCAACAGGTTCTGATACTGCTCCTTCCCCACTGCATTTCCAGCAGGAACACAAATGTGTGTCAGGAAACATTTATAAAGTATTTATTAGCTGAACCCGGACTAAAAAGATAGCCTTAATTTTCTGCAGTAACGGTGAATTTTCAATTCTAGTTAAAGTGGAGATAAAAGCCACCTCCTGGAGGAGTGTAGCCAAGGCGATAATTTATACAAGATGCCTTCGAACAATTTCCACTTTTTATCACCACCCTAATTTGCGCTATCAAATGGCCGAGTTTATTTAACAAAACAGTTATGTTTTTCCTGAAGTATTTAAAGGGAGAAATTCTGGTCCTTTCCTGAGTAAAAGTTTTTATAGGGTCAAACTTAAGGCCCAACTGAAGAATGAAACTATTCTCAGCACATAAATTCTGTTGCACTTTGCAAATGCACGGGGAATGCTTTTAAAAGGTGAAGCTACTGATTTCTGTAAAATAGGCTGTGGGACTAAATGGGAATGACCTGAAAGGGAATATTTTTAATTAAACATGCAATTTAATTATTGCATGCAGCAGTGCAGAGTAAGATAGCTGCAATAATTAAAGCAATATTGAAAGCTGGATATAATTTTACCACAGAATTTTTTTAACCTTTTGTTGCCGTCTGAAATACCCTAATGATAAACACACCAGCTACAACAATGAAGATAACAAAACCTGAACATTTAATTTCAATATGTATTAATCATTAGTTGAGTAAACCAATAGACATTTTCCTTGACAATTAAAAATCTGAGCTGCATTCTCAAACACTCCTATTCGGTACCACAGAGACTATCAAAGAAAACAGCAATACTGACTCCAGTAAACCAATGCCAATTTGCAATGGACAAGAGTTTGCAGTCACTTCTGTAACGACTGTGTTTGTACAATAAAAGCATTCAGATCTCATCTAAAGGCTGCTCCAAAACATTTTACAGAGGCTTGCCCTTCTATCAGGACTGGCCTTCTTAATCCCTTTCCATAAAATATAACTGTCTTTCAATTAAAATATCCTGCTTTTTTTTTAATGCCTGAACCAAACTATTCCTAGTAGTCAAACCTAAAAAACCTCTCTGGATATCCCCAGTCCTACAACTGGATCTGTGTGGTTGCAGATACCGAACTCTTACAGCACTTACATTGTCCTCAGGTAATACCAGAGCTGTCCTGCTTCATTAAAACCTCTTCAAAACTGGTTTCTGAACAATTCTTTCCATTCTATTTTAAAGGGAATCCTCTCTTGTTTTATATAACATTATGGAAGAAATTCTAAATCCACTTAAACTCATCTAATTCAGAGGATCAGGATTTCACACTTATTAGGAGGTTCCTTAGTACTTACTTCATAGTTCTGCAAAAAGCATACCAAAAACACTGCCCACGGAGAGCTTTCAAACAGGGCACGTATTGCAACTCTTTTCTTCCCCAAGTACACACAGCATGTTTTGCTTCTTCAGTCAATGCATTTATCTGGAAGTTACTGTTTGCTTAATTTCTAACTAGAAGGCTACAAAGGAGGGCAAAATTCTATTTATGTCAGTGCCTGGGGCACCAATTCCAGGCCCCAGAACAAAACATGGCTAATTGTTTCTCGATAGAAGACAAAATCTCAGAGATACTGAAAAGATACTTACAGTGAATTCCTGTAAATCTTTACAACTACCCTAGTCCTTCTGTAAGTATTCATCTTCTAAAAACTACTCGTTTGCTGTCCACTCTCAATTTTTATATAACTCAGGTGGAAGCAAAAAACAGTCTTTAATGCTGTAGCCTCTGCTAACAGAGAAGCTCAATAAAAGTAACTATCGAAAAGAAACTCTCTGATCATTCCTGCCAGCACACAGTCTGCTCCTTTCTCTGCAGGGCTAGGGCATAAATATAGCAGCTGCAGACACCAAATGCAATGTGGTCACTGGAACTGATGTACAATATACACCATAATGAAACACTGCCTTTTTTAGCTGAAACGGTTTAACATACAATTCATAGCAGGCTTAAGTAGTTTGCATTAAACAGTCTTTGGATAAAATACCTCATCAGCACTGGCAGCCCGGACTAGACCCAAGCCTGCACTTTGCACTACTCAGATTTCCCTTTGCTATTTTCAAAGATTCACAGATCGGGAGAGAACAAGCAATTAATCAGTCCATCCACAACAGAAGAAATGGAAACCATCCTTATTTCAAAGTCTTTTATAGCCTACTAGGAAAGGCATTCACCTAGGAAGTGGATTTAAAACTCCTTAGACTAAAAAGACATTTGAACACAGGTCTCCCACCTCCTGTGCAAGTGTACTAAACATAAGGTTACTGCACAAACCAACTTAGTTTCTAAGAGAAAACAACAAGCCATTCGTCCATACTAAATGCCACTTACATGCAAGAGAACCTGGGCTTATAGTTTGACAATGGTATTTGCAATTTGTGTCTCCAGCCAGGAGAAAGAGGAGATTTCAAGAGCAGCCTGAAATCACAGACCCGAGCATGCATTAATTCCATTTGCAGCCTTCATGGTATGTCACTGCTTACACTGAAAGGAAACTTGAGTACATGCGTCAAGCCGAGTGCCAGCCTGTTTTTGACCTAGATGGTCAGAGGAGCAGGAATGAGAGCTCACCACAGAGAACATTGCTGGGAAATCTAAGTGCTCCCTCCAGGAGTCTGAGTTCTCAAATTAGTTTGTCTGTAGATACACATATTCACCTTGAACAGCCTTCACAAAGTGATTCTGTGAGCCTGTGAGCAGTAACAAGCCCACGTCCTTCCCAACACCTACCTGTTACGACCCGAATCTCTAAACCCTTTGGCGAATGGATTCCTATCAATCTTCAGACGAGTTATCTGTGAATATGATTAGAGAAATTATTACCTGTAAATTCAGCTGAATAGCACATAAAATGACTCTTCTGAAAGAATTAAGCTGACAGTAGAAACATCTTCACATTTGCATGGTTTAAGATGGTTGTCCTGAAACATAGCAAAATAAGGTCCAATTTTCTGATCACTACTTTTGCAGATCCCCAGAGAAACTAACACGTATTTAATGCTGCCAAGTGGCAGGTTGGAACTATTGAGCAAAATCTTCCGGTAAATGTCATTCTTCACCCAAGAGAGTATACTGCCTAACTGCAATAAAATTTAAACTAAATTTTATTTCTGTACGGGTCAAGAAGAAAATATGAAAAAACAGATTATCTCTAGGTTACTATCCTCCACAAAAAAAACCCAAAACCAAAACCAACACCACCACCACCCCACACCCAAACAAACAAAAACATCCCAGTAAAACACTCCCTACTCCAAATACTTGTAATTTACTTGAAAAAAATCAGAAAGGCACCAAATAATTATATTTCAGTAATTACACAGTTCTCCTACTCTTCCATTTGTAAAGATATCAATGCATATATAATTTCAAAAAATACAGCTGCAGTAACTTACATGGAATTAATAAAATGTCACAACACTAACTATGATGTCACTATGTATGCTAAGACTTAAACAGGTGGTAATAAGAGCCAAACATTGGAGTGATGCAACCTGCAGTTTACTTTGGACCCAGATAAATTGCCATTAATAATATAAACTGAATGCAGTTAATGAAAATGACTGCAACTTTCTTTAGACCTCTGTTAAGGACCTGGGAGTTTTGAAAGCACTGGAGTCAGGAATAAAAATGCTTTAAAAGTTCTATCCAGACATGTATCTACACTTAAAGGTACAGAAACCCCTTTAAAAATTACATTGCTCTTTGCCTTGTTCTTCAATGCTGTATTTATAATCAAGACACCATTAGACATGATAATTAGACTGTGTGATCTCCATAATAACAATGATTTTTTACATACAGCATCTAGCCCATGTGGCCTCAAGTCTCAGCTATAGCCTCCAGGCGCTGCTGCAATACTACCAGTGAAAGCTGCTTGCAGCACAAAAAATGTTTACACAACTTTATTTTAATAAGTAGTATAATGAAAGTATCTGCTTTTCTCCTATCTCTTATGTCCCTGGTCTGCTCTGAAAAGCCTGTAAAGTGCCAAGCAGATAGCCCAAATTACCTGTTGATTTTGGTATGCTGTGACAGTAGTGAAAACTGTCTCTGGAAAGGAGAAGGCTTTCACCCCTTCTCCTGAAGGGATAGGCTTGACAGGGGACAGATCATCACCACAATCTTTTCGGATGACATGGACACGAGGCTGATATTTATGCATAGAGTGAAGGATAATCTATGCAGTCGTGAAAGGAAAAAGATAACATTTATTAGAAAGGACGCCCTGCTGTTACAAGACTAATAGCTTTTTGGAACAGATTAATGGTACGTGTTTACCATGCCACTTACTGGAAATGAAATGTTTTCTTTAACCTCTGAAGGTTCTTATTACAGTAGTCTAATCCCTGTGCATTTATGTTATTGC